GGCAGTAAAATGCAGCTAACACATACTATTATTAGTCCCACTCACCAAATATATGGCAGTCCCTCCACATCCCTCTTCCCCACCCTGCAACTGACTTTCTGCCAGGCCTTGCAGTTCAGCACTTTGCTATCAAAAAGTTCAAGTTTATATTGGCAGGTGATTTTTATCTCTCCATAACCTCCTCCTTCTTTTCCCCTCACAGTGTTTCTGGAATTGACTGCTCCCCTTGTGGGTTTTGATCCTCCAAAGCTTCAGTCCTTTGCAAATCACTCGCAGTGCAGAACTCCCCAGTGGACAGATAAGAGAACAATATCAATACTGTGAGGCTCCAGCGTGAGAGGAGTTAAGCGATTTCTGTCAACACAAGACCCAGCCAGCGATCAGTTCCTACACTGAGCATTCCCGATGGCTGCAATGTGCGTGGTTCTCCTGCCCACAGCCTGGCACATGATTGCAGGCAGGTCCAGCAGCTCCTTCACCACTTGCTCCCAGCACCAGGCGCACACCAGCTCCCATGCCACATGTCCTCCTCCGCTGACCCTCAGTTCAGCCCTTCTGTCCCGGGGCCCGAAGTGTCCCCCCCTGCAGCTTACAGGGCATCCCTGTGTGAAAATCTGGTCATCATAACATTGGATGTTTTCACGTGGCACTGGACTGTGTGCGCGTGCACGTATTTCTATTTATTCTCATTACCATCTCTGCCCCTCTTGGAAGGCTTATCCTCCCAGACAGACGGCTGTGACCCAACTGCCTTTAAGCATACTGAGTCTACATTTAAAGGAAATGCATTTTTCAAAGAGTTCAGCTTAGAAAACAAAGTACAAACACCACACCAGATGCTGACAGCAACGTAGGGTTATGTTTGGTGAGAATGGAAACAAAACAACCCATACGAGTGAAGGTCTCCTGCTATGCTAGTTTCAATTCCCCAAATGCCTCCACTGCTGAGAAGATGCCATACCAGTGAATTTGAAATATGGTCTGTGCAGCTGTTGTGTGCAGGTATTTAAATCTGCCAAATTTCTCCTGCAGCAAGAGGATGTGGGTGGGTAACAGACACATACATCCTGCACCGGACTCTTGCTAAATTCTGTAGCCCTTCTTCTGACTGCATTTCCCAGAGAGGGGCCAGGCCAGGCCAACAATTTGCAGTAAGCCATTCAACGCTGCACGTAGCTTTTTGCTCTCACCAGCTGCGTCTGCACAAGGAAAGAGAACAGGCTGACTGGTCTAGCACTGCCTGTGTCCCTGTAACAAAACTGCCTCTCTAACATCATGGCTGCATCTAGGCTGAGCAGCAGGAGCAAGGCCCAAGCTGTGCTAATCGCTGCATTAGCAGACACCGGCCAAGAGGGTGCCGTTTCACACAGGACAAAATCATGCCACAACTATAGATGGCAGGATGTAGCCGGCAATACAAGGCAATACTTAGCAGGGTGGGCCTGCTTCTGGTCCCCAGGCCATACAGACAGAAACCCTCCTTGCTGTCTGCACCTGATCTACAAACAGCAGCTGACAGTGCCACAGGCAAGGACCTGTGTACAGACAGGAACCATGCTCAGACTGAGCAGCTCAAGCCCCTTGTGGACTGTGAAGCAGAGGGTTGTGCCAGAGGCACAGTGGTGCTCCACCACAAACCTTGTTCTTGCTGCACCCAGAATCACCATCCCACACGCTCCAGTTGAGGTGACCCAGCTTATAAAGGGGCACCACACACAGCCTGCTGCTCACAGCACACAGCTCTCATAGAAGCAGGAGGGCCGGGCTTTGCCTTGGCTTTGGAAGGGAGACACTGCAGTGAAAGCGTCAGATCACAAGGACATCTCAGGTGAGAGCCACATCCTCTTTCTGGTCTGGCATGTGCATTTGCTTCATGATCCCTCTCAGCACGAACCTGCTGGGGAAGTCTCTCTGTTGGGCTTTTGCTCTCCTGTACCTGCAGAGCTCTGCAGTGAGCAGAGTGGAAACCAGGGTTACTTACAGGAGACAGCAGAGAAAGGCAGGAGGAGTGAGCTGTGCCTTCCCTTTTGGTTCTTCAGAGGGAAGGGACATCCCAGCTGGGTCTCTTCTTGCCCTGCTCTTCCTGCTCCATCCTTTCCCTGGATCCTCGGATCCTCCTTCAAAGCACTCAAGTCCCACATTCTACACACCACCCCTGGCTTGGTCTACTCCGTACCTACCTGGGGACACAGTTCCAAAGATCACGCTTCCTGAAGCTTTGATTTTCAGAAAGGGGATGCTCAGCATTTCTCAAAAAAAACAGACTTTATGGAGTGTCCCATTAGAGGACAATCACCGGCCACCTGACCAGCTTCGAGAAGTACAATAAAATAAGTTCCTTTGCTACTGCATCTGTAATCACTTGGTGGAGCATACAGCTCAGTCTGACACAGGGTCTCACTACCTGCCTTTGTGCCCATCCTTGGCTTCGCTAAAACAAATCCTGCTCATTAGAAGGTGGGTCAGTCAGATCATTCTGCACATTTCTGCCACCCACCTGCTCTTTTACAGCCTTTTTCTAAGCTGCGGGGCCAGATGAATGTGAAGCCACAAAAGTCAGAGGAGGGAATCTGAAAGCAAAATAGCAAGACCGCTTCCCAGCAGCATCTGCTGCTCTGAGCTGAGGAGATTGACGGTAACTCTCTGCCTAGCTACAGAACAGCCTGCTTCTTGTGTCAGTCTCCAGTAGTATGTCCTTTAACCACAAGTGAAAGCAACCGATCCCCCACGAAGGCACATCTGCTCCAAGTCCATATTAAAGCAGGGAAAAAAATGACACCTTCAGCTATATAAACCAATAAAGACTGTCGGATTTGGTTTGCCCCTGTTGCTACCCAGCAAGCTCCCTACTGGGATAAAGACTGGTGACATTCGCTAAAAAAATGTCAAGAGTGAGGAGAACAAAACTGGATAATGAATCACACCAAGCACTCAATGCAGCTGGAAGAACTGAGGGGTGACTGCACCCTACTTCATTCCCCAGCCAAGGGAAGCCAGGATCACCAGACAAATGCTGCACACTGTGGCTCTATTTATATGTGAACAAAAATACAAAGTTATAGCAGCAGGCATGCATCCTGCAACAGCTACCGAGAAAAGAAGCGATATGTTAAAGAGGTGATGTAACAGGATTGCTATGGAGGTAGTCTCCCTCCAGCTCTCACAAGTCTGTAAATGGTAAAGTTAACTCTGCCCCCTTGTGCATCTGCATCATGATACAGTCTGCAATTAAAAGATGACATGCTTCTCTTCTTCACGTTACGGGCTAGCATTTGATTCACCTTTTTGTCATCTGCAGTGCAGAGACCTGGGACTCCTTCGTGAACACCTCAAATCTAGCTGTGCAGGGATAACTTTTGCTGAGCAGGATGAGGAGGGGTTATAGAGTCTCCCTGGGATCCCCTTCAAATGAACAAAGATGTTAAAATATCAGGTTATGTACAAAGTCTGTCCTTCACACACCTCTCCAAATCTGCAGCTGCAAGCTGTTAGAAAAGCAATTTAAATGGTCTGCAGAAGACAGCATTGCTGTCCAACTTACAAGCTCAAAAATCATGACTCACACTGCCAAAACAACGGGGTTGTTTTATAAATCATGTGATCTCTTCTAATAGTCAATTGGCAAAGGCTGGGGAATTTCTCAGCTATGCCTCTGATCTTCCCAAGGAAGCATTTAAATCTTTAATCTACAATTGTAAGTTCTTCCTTCTTGCTTAAATCAGTGAATCTGTAATCACACACATCCAAGAACTGGAGCTTCAGGACAACGCCATGAAAGAGTCACATAACTTGCAACACAAACTGCCTCTTTCCTGCTCATAAAAAAAAATAAATAAAATAAAAAAAAAAAAATCTACTTCACCTGCTTTAATATATATACTTATCTGTGCACTTATGGCTTTGATTTGGGAAGAAACAAACAAACAAAAAAAAAAGTGCAATCATAGATTTAACTAAAACAGGCATATTCAGCAACTAGCTGAACTTTCAGTTTTATACTCACAGCCGCTTCCCATGTGACTGAAATCAACCCCACAAAGCTCTCAGCAGTCTTTCCACAGTTTTAGTAAACTGAAAATTACTCTATAATCCAACAGGACATCTGCAGACACCTACCTTCTGCTCGTGCAACAGAGACTCCATGCTCCTTGCCTGTTTTTAGCCTGTTTCTCTAGAAGCACAGGAGCTCAAAGGCAAGAAGTGGGAACCTGATGTTCTGGAGGGCAGGGTGGCAGCACATTAGAAAAAAGAGCACCCATGGGCCTCCCACCCACTGGTAGGAGCCAGAGACATCTTACCTGAGTGCTTTCCCACACGCTTGCCTGCAGCATTGCCACTAAGCCCCTGCTGTGCCCTCTGCTCCCATGCACATCAAATGATGTGGTCTTGACCCCAGCTCTTACTAGTGAAGGACAACTATAAACCCTGATTTGAGGACTGCAGGCAATGTTCGATTCAAGCCACAGTCACTTGTTTCCTCTGCCATCGGGGCTGACAACAGCCCCTGATAAATGTAGCATCACAGACTGCTCTACTGTTAATTTTCTGTATCTTTGTGGATGGAGACACCTCCCTGGCATTTTTTTTTTACTTCAGGTAATCAATACAAGGATTCTTCCCCTTTTCACTGATGGCAGAGAGATGTTCCTCAGCCGGGAAGAGAAGGCAACCAAAGCCTGACACACTGAAACTGCTTTCTAAGAACATCAGGACCCTGTTCCAAGAAAAAAAACCTGCCTTCGTATACAGCAAAGGACCACAGGGTCATGCAGAAAGCCCCCAAGCTGGGCTGCAACCTCAGGAAAGGCCCTGCAGCATTCAGACAGGACTCCCCAAAGCCGAGGGCTGGCCAAGGGCACCTGCATCTCCCTCCCACCCACCTTAGCCCCGGCAGCCCCACAGACCACGTCGCCCCCGGCCGGGAGCCCCACTGCCACCAAGGCCAGCTGCCCACCAGCACGCATGGTCCCAGCACCCCCAGAGAAAGCCGCTGCCATTACCTTCATCTCGTTTGCGCTTGTTGCTCTCGGTGCCGGGGGAGGCAATCCCCAGAATCCCGCTGATGGAGTAGGACGAGCCGGCGGAGTCTGTACTCACAGAGGACACCTGGGTGACAGACCCTGTGGAGGCTGCAAGGCAAGACAAGGCCAGGCAGTCAGTGAGAGGCAGCCCCTAAGCTACCAGAGCAATCTGATGGCTGCTTTCCCTCCACGGAGATTATTTTGGCATTTTCAAGAAAGACACACCCAGGATGCTGGACTGGAGAACGATCTGTGGAATAAGCTCAGCATGTAACACAGATCTGTGTGAGATACTGTGCCTCTCACAGCACCAGCCTACCTTTGCCAAAAAAAAGTCAGGGAGTGCTTTGCCCATTTCACAGGTGGAAGTCTGAACACACAGAACTGAGACGCACACACACCTGTCTGCCTCCCTCCTGCATAAGAAGCATGATCTTATCTTTGCCACAGCGACTTTTGCCGCAGAGGCTGCCTCATCAGTCAGGACACCCTTTCCAGAGACCGCCTCCAGCAGCCTTGCATAAGTCCAGGCTGAGTATTGCTGGTCTGCATCTAAATTAAAGTTTAGGAAAGTTTTGCTACTTCTTCACTCAAGACTGCAAGTGCACAAAGAATTATGGAAGGGATGGTTGATAGATGAAAAAAAAAAAAAAAAAACACATTCAAAACTACTTACTGACTAATGATGCAGAAAATGTTATGAATAAGTATCCCTTTCTTGATTTATTACTTTAATTATCTGACATTCTATAGACCCCCATTAGTGGGGTTTTTTTGGTTTAGATTTCAATTTTCTGTCTCATGGTGAAAGCTATTTATCATAATAATCAGTAAAAGTCAAAACCTTTTAACAGTATTTATAAAATTCATTTACTATGTTCAGTCCTTGGAGAATGACAAAGAAGGTGCATTAGCACGTGTGCTGAAGTGTTTTATGCAGAATTATCTGTCCATAAGAATGATTAAAAGTTCTTTAGAATATTTGTAATCCATTATGCTATTTTTTTAATATATAAAAAAAAAAAAGCTTTTCTTACCTATGCTGTGACTGGAGGCTGGGACTTGCTGATTGGGTGGCTGCTGCACCTTTGTTCGTATGATCCTGTAAGCAGTTGCAAAGAAATGGCTACTTAGCATTAAGCATACAATTACAGGGGACACACCATACTCTACTTTTTCACTTTGGGATATCTACATCAATACAAAAATTTCTTTCTGTGTGTTGCAGGCAGACCCTGGACTACATTTTTGCCACCAGACCAAGTCATTAGGGACATTAGGGACATGACCAACTCCTACACACTCCTTGAGATCCAGCAGAGAGTGGTGCTTCAGTCCCTTTGAAGACATAGTCCTTAATGCCCAGGAAGGACATTTCGGTAGCTATTTGGCCACCGGCTAGGCCCAACACCACATCTTCGGGGAACCAGACACTACCGAGTTCAAGCGCTCCACTGGACTGCTATCTGCAGCCATGGGTGCTTGAACACATTTGTAGGTCTGTCACTAACCCACCCCGGGAATAGTACTCGCACATCTAGAGAACCTGGATACCTCCGAAAGGATTCTGCTTATCCAAATTAATATTAAAACAAAAATGTGGTGGATTAAATGCTAATCTTAAAAGCTGAATTACTACATTGTCATTGCTGGGGACAGCCTCTGCTCTGAGATAGAATGATGTAAATCAGGAAACATTCAAATGAGTAGAGACAACAAAAGGCATGCGTTGTGTTACAGGACAAAGGGCAGCTGTTAAGAAGAGCTGAGGAAGTGCTCTATCAAACGCTCACCTGCCCATGCACTGTTAAAAAAGAAAAGAAGGGGTCTGAAACACCTCCAGGGATTACACAATTCTGCCAAAGGCTGCAGTGGAATCAAAACGGGCTTGAGCGAGGCACACTCCTTAGTCAAATCACATGTCTCTGTTTTATGCACTGTTTACGCAGTTGTAATGCTGCGGTAAGCATTTATCCTGTGTTTACCTAGCAAACTCTTTTCCCGTTTCTGCCTGCCTTGAATTTGGAAGAGGGGAGAGGAGGGGATGGGAGGTGTGAGACAGATGTGGTGTGGGGATGCATCATGAGAACACAAAACTGTTTCTTGCTGGAAAGTTAGCCCGTGAGCCTGTACAGGAACCTGTACTGGTGACCCCCAGCCCCCTCCCCAGCACAGGACTCGCTGCCTGCCCCTTCCCTTCCTGCTATGGGACTAGGTGTGAAAACAAGTCTACATTCATCCGTCAGCACCAAGGTGAAGCTGTTGGCTGTTAGACGTCTTCAAACTCCTTGGTGATGGGGTCCCTTGATTCTTCTGCCTCCACACAGGGCCAAAGCAGCTGGCTGCACACGGGAGCTGCAGGGAGCTGTGCAGGCAGATTGGTGGGGGAGAGCACACAGCCAAAGATGACAAAGGACCCCACGCGAGCAAGACTGAAAATAGCACCCTGTACAAGGCTTCCTTCCTGTCATGCCAAAGGAAGGGTGTCTGGGGCCTTCCGACACAGAAATATCTTCATCTCTGGAGGGACAGGGGACTGGAGCACGCTGAAGCAGCTGGGCAGCTTATCTGAGCAAAGCTAGTTGCAGTGATTAATTATGCCTTAGTTGCACAGAGTTGCTCCTGCTGCGGAAGAGTGGCCTATTATTAATATTAATTAATGTTACTAATTAATAATAGTAGTTGTTATTCATTTATATAAGGGGGCAGCAACTCAAATTCATCTGCTGAAATGCACCCTCCGTAGCAAGGACATGCTATGCGTAGACCACCACAGAGGCTTTACAGGGCAGCGCCCCAGCCCCTCAACTCTCAGCAACAGCAGCTCTCCACGGCACAGCCCTGGAGAATCACTCCTCTCCACACTGCAGGCTGCCACTGCAGGAAGGCTTATGGCTCAGTTCACCTTGCTTCTTCCAAGGCAGTAACCTTCTGGTCCTTCTGGTTTCTGGTGGGAGCTGACATCGGTGGCTAAAAGGCAATATCCCACTTGCACCTCAGGGCTGAATAAGGGCATTACGCCTTCATACTAGAAGTTTGCACCCTTGCTGCATGATAGCCCTATCTGCAAAGTCTTGAAACGTGGAAGGACAAGTCCAAAGACTGCACCACAGAACTGTGAGGATTTAGCATTAAAGCCAAGTATTTTGATGTAGCTTCCAGGCTCTTGGCATAACAGTTTGTTTTGGGTTTTGGGGATGTGCTCCTAGGCTGGCAAAAACAGTTCTCCAGGTAAACAAGCTGACTCAAAAAGATCATGTGGATTTCAAAAGGGGTTTCACACCCTTCAGAAAAGGGAAAGATCTTAGCCACAGTTGCATGCAGGTGAGAAAGAATGAGATTTCCAGCCAAATAACTTGGCTGTAGATCGTGAAACAGAGATTCTGATGAGAAGTCAATGAGTGCACAGACATTATCAAGGATAAAGCAGGAGGCAGAATAAGGAAAGTGGATCAAAACACACTGGAACCTACTTAGTGTCTGCATTCTAGAGCTACGAGTGCATTTTTGGCAGTCTTTTGGAGAATGCTTGAAGCCCTACTACATAAACACAGGACTGCTCATAGCAGCATTAATGCTTCTGACATGACAGGTGCTGAGTTGACTTTTACGCAAGCAAAGTCTGCCCTCAGTTAGCTGAGAACAGACAGAACAGGATTTTCTTTCAATTTTCGTGGTGTCCATATCATTCCTCAAATCCTTTTTTTAAATTGAAAATGCAATGTCCATAGCATTACCAAGTGCTGTTTCAGAGTCTAAGCTAGACAGGAACTTCCAGGCAGTAGCAAAGGCTGTGAGTGAACTCACCCGTTTTTGCACTTAACCATGCAGATGGATGACTCAACTCTTAGTTCAGCAAGACAGAGCCACCACTCTGCACTGACACTGGGGAAGTCACTCCTGCTACTCAAGTGGCAACTCCATGAATGCAAATCAGGTTGGGATAGCCAATAAAAGAAGAGTGCATCAATTTATTTCACGTCCATGGACACAGATGGGACTTTATAGCTAGCTGCACTCAAAGAATTCGCATGAAATTGCACAAGAGAGAACCATCTCACCAGAGCAGTGAGACCAAAGCCCGGTACAGAAAATACTCCAGAGAGAAAATGAAAAGACTCGGCTTGCCAGGGGCTGTTGGTGTGCTTGAGGGTGCCTGCATGCTCTGCCTTCCAGGTATTAATACCCTATTATCGCTCTGGAGGGCTGGAGATACAGCTAAGTACTTGAGAGGGTTTTCCCTGGTTTATTCTTGCTGAAAATTTCCCTGGTTTATTCATGCTAACAGTACCAGACCGTGGCCAGCAGAGTTCTAGGTCAACTGCAGCAGTACTGAGCAGGACAGAAAGACCTTGAGACCTGTGCTATGGATCATCTCCTGGGGTACCTAGGTGCCTGTCTTTTTCCAGATCAACACCACCACGCAACTCAGTTGCAGTCTCAGCATTCCCCAAGAGCAAGTACCAGCACAGTGGGGGCCTCATTTGGGTCAAATCAACACAGATCTCTACCAGCAAGAACTGCAGGGCATGGATTAGGGAATGGGAAAGGACAGAAAAGAAGCAAAGGCCAATAGCACAACCTGCCCAGTCCTAGGAAATATTTATGACTGTGAGGCTTTCACCACCAGGGTGACCCCACAGGCACTCCAAAGCCCCAAATACGTTATGTAAATACATGTAAACTGCATTTCTTGCAAACAACCCAAAACACACATTTCTACCAACAAACGAGAATTCAGAGAACAACACGTTCTAGCAAAGTCCCTCCCCAAGACCATACACATCTTTACCTGTTAATTGAACTGACGCTGGGCACGGTGTCATTATCACATACTCTCTCAGCAAGAAGTCTATCCCTGATCTCCCAGGCAAACATGGTAGGATTTTGGCGTTTGTACTCTGCAATTTTTTCGACGACTTTGGGTGTGGCGACCTTTGGTTTTGATCCTCCAATCACTCCAGGCTTAATACTACCGGTTTCATAATACCTGGGACAACATCCAAAACAAACCTTCAGTTATCACAAATAGACAGAGAACATGCTTTGAGATTTATAGAGAACATAATTTCAAGGTAGCCAAACCCCAGCAAATCCTGAGATACATCTTCACTTTAACATACATACTTCCTGCCTATGTAGTGTTTTATCACCTAGTAGATTAACTTATAGTAATTGGAATTGGGCCATAGCATAGAATATATATTTTTTCATAACAGAAAGACAAAAAAAAAAAATAAAACACTGTGCAAGACTAAAAGGCATTCCGGGATCCAAAATTAAGTGCAAATACGTGTTATTAATCAGGGGTATTGGCAATAATAGAAACAAATCACACCAAAGACCACTTTTTGTAGTAAATTACTGTTTCTAATGAAATTCTCTATCATTAATATCTAGAATGTGTTACCATTTCACAGTGAAATGAAGGCTGGGTATTGTATTTTATTTGCACCTTCAAAATAAATATGTTGGCATACCTTTTTCCCATTTAACTGTTTCAATATATATGTTACTGTTTTAATAGTTAATATTTTTCGGAATATATTATTTTTAATATTATGTTTCTAATAGTTGTAACCATAAATTTTAAGGTAAAAGGAGCTGTCCATATTCTCAAGGGGTTCAGTTTTGGGTGTTGGTTTATCTGACCAGCTCCACGATCCATTCTCACGTACACAATCTTTACACATGCGAGCAGTTCTGCTGTCATACAAGGGAAGGTGGTAGGAGTGCACCCCTAAACTGACTGAGATATGTCAGACAGATTTTTTTTTCTTTTTTTTGCATGTAAATCACATGTAAAGGCACAACTGCCTTTAATAGAATTGCAACAAAATGTCACAGCTGGGATCCCCAGCCCTATCCATCTCCCCCTTTTTAATAAGTCTTGAAAATGCTTTTAAAATATGTCCACAAAATACTACCCACCGAAGACCAGAGAAGAGACTAGGAATGAAATCACGCCCCTCTGTGCTGAGACTTCAGGGAGTGCAACACACAAGATATTCTCCTGGCCACGCACTTTTTGTATCTTGTGAATTTCCTTGTAACCAGATGAAAAATAAATCCCCAGGCTACCTGCAACCACTGCCCTAGCTGCCCTTATCTGGCTCATCCTTTCTGAATAGACCCTGACTTCATGAGCCTTTCAACCAGAGACCCACCAAGATGTAGTCTCTTAGCATCTTAAAGATGTCCACCGACTGCTCTCTGCCCAATTTCCAGTAAGGCGCTCAGAAAAGACTACCAAATAAGAATGTAAGATTATTTCCTAATGTGTTTTCTCTGCAGCTACTTGCCATACCCATTATATAAAAATAAAAATTATTATTATTATAATATTAATAATAAAATTACAGTCTTTCCAGCATGAGCAAATCAGAACACAAACAGGCTGCACAGTGAAAGCCTGTCTCATGCAACCATGCTGGTTAAATTTCTGTCAGGTCACTAGTTTTTATTCTTCCTCAGAGAGCTGGGGCAGGAGGGTAGTATTTTGCTCCTCCTGTGCTTAATTTCCTGAGGACATAATAACATGAAGGCAAACCTGGATCACAAACTTTCTAAAACCTTACATCCCCAGCTTCATAACCTTTTCTAGTAGAACTTCTACTTTAAGAAGGGTGTGAAAGGAAGCCATACGATAAATGTTACCCAAACAGAAAGTTGTAATTTTCTTCCTTCCATCTGAAACCATGGATTTTACAATTGTTCCTTTGTGCTCATCTCTCACACGCCTGTGCTGCATCTTCGGGCAGCATCCTGCGGCCAGCTACCCCACTGATGGAGAACAACCCTCACCACCTCGAGCCGTGCAAAAGCTCACACACATTCGCAGGCGGCTTGTCTTGCGTGGAAGGGCGCAGGTTTGGGCCCGGACCCATCTTCCTGGGCAGCTAGGAGAACTGGCCTGCAGCAGGGGTCAGTGAATTACCAGCAACACTGCTGCCGACGCCTTCTGGTTCACCCAAGCAACTAACGGAGGGAGCAGCACGAAGCAGTGGCAGACTGCACAGTGCTGGCATCCCTGACTCCCATCTCCATTTTAAAGACAAGGCTGGCTGCAGTCAGATTCATTTCACGTGCACAAGGTCCAGGCCTTTTGCTGCCAACAAATGGGCAATGCAGGTAAATATTGTGCACCCCTGCAGAACCTACCTCTGGGACAGAGATAGTGTCTCCTGCACTGCAACCATCTGGTCCCCACCCTGTGGGCTGCCCAATACAAGGCTGATTGTTAAGGCTGTGTTGAAGGCTGATAGGAAAACTCCAACCATAAAATTCCAAATGTAAAGATTTTTCGTAAGGATTCCTGTTCTTCACACACACACAAACACACACACACACGGAGCTCCAATTACAGTGACATTTTACCCACCGTAATTATTAGTTATGAAAATAATGAGGTATGAAATTCCAATTTATTTTTGACAACTTTAATGACAAAGCTTTGGAGCTTCATTCTCAGCTGTATACCGCAAATGTATCTAATGATAAATCTATTCAAACGAGCAAAAGTAAAACCACTGGACATTTGCCCAGTAAATAAATTGCCCATTTCTTAGTTTTACATTGGTCCTGATGGGAATTGCTGGTAAGTCTGCTGCAGTGCGGAGCATCACAAAGCAAACTATATAATGGTCACACCAGGAGCAGAAACCCGTACTGAGCATGGACGCACAGCTCTAACAGCATGAAATAGCCTGGGAGGGGCAGGCAGGTCTCAAATAAAGCCCTCAGAAAGTTTTTCTCTATCAAGTAGTAAACGTGTCGATGTCCTTTAAAGTCACGCCAATGTACGACCAGGAGGAATGGTTACAACCTGAAGGGAATGCACCTCTGAGCAGCTAATGCAAGAGAGAAGGACAGATGCTCAGCTTAACCCGCACACCAGCTCATGCAACTCTAAAAGCACACTGTCCAAGACTAGTGAGATAGAGTTCAGCGGTTAAGCTGACTGAAGATAACAGGGTGTTACAGGGAAAAGAATGCTGTCTTCTACAAAACCAGGGGGGTCCATGACTTCAGCAAGTAAATTTGCTTGTGAACACTTAAATTGTCACTGAGAGATCAGAAATGCTGCTAATCAGAGCAGGACCTCATGCGTGCTACAACAAAAAGGTCCTTTAACAGTTTTTACATCTATGGAATGACCAGTAAAGCTAATTGATTGAAAAACGGAAAAGAGGAAGACGGTACAAATAGTAACAGTAGAAGTAAAATGCTAAACAATGAAATTAACTGCTAAAGTTTAGTGAATATGTCAGAAATTAACTTTTACAAATTATATATATAAAAAAAAAGTACAGATATATTATAACAGCAACAAGAATAAAATAATAATAATTTAAAATGTCCTTACTATAAGATGGTTAGATACCTCAGAATTTTCAACCTGGAATCCGAAACTACTTCAGTACAGTACTTTATACAAATGATGCTCAGAAGATACAAAGAAGAAAGGATTTTTTTAAACCTGAATCTGATTCATATTTTAAAACAAAATCAGGAAATTATAAGAATTCAGACATTAATTTGCCGTCTCTGTACTGGTTTGAGCAAGTTCCATCTGAATGGAAAGCTACTCCCCAAAAAAAACAAATGTAAGACGGTTAACAGCTACTTATCGTATTCTCTGCTCTAATTAAGAACATAGTCCACCACAAGAGTGGGAAAAGGCCTCAAATTAAACAGTGGGACAGATTCAATATAGCGTGTGTGAATGAACGCTTAAGAACATTCATGCAGTGTAGAACGATAAAATTGCTAAAAGTAAGTCTTTTTCAGAAAGCACGAGTTACTTTCCCTGAATGTTCCCCAACTTCTCTTTCCTCTCCATTTTACTGAAGCTGACTCGCAGATTTCTCTATGTATTCACAGCAGACTACTGCAGAATATATGCCACATATACACCAAATATCACACGTGGCATTGTGCACTGTGCATTAGAATTACCTCTGAGAGACTTTGAACAGCGCGAAATAAACATATAAACAGTTGCGTTTTTTTTTACACGTCAGGCGTGTAAAATCATGAGTGGTGATCATGAGCCCTTGTCCTTGCGTGCTGGTAACCTTTAATTAAGGGTGTTTTTTCTCTTGATGGACACGAGAGATTTCTCGCCCACCCTTACCTGCCAAGTATTTTGCTGACGCAGCCGTGGCTGACGCGGAGCTGCCTGGAGATGTCGCACGGCCTGACCCCTTGGTGGGCAAGCTCCACGATCCTTTGGCGAACGACATCTGGGAGGGGGCGGCCGTTCACAAAAACACCCCCCAGCTGATTCACACCTCCATGTCCTGAAACAGACCGGGGGAGGGGGGAAAAGGCAGGAAAAGAACAGCGTTGTCAGAGTTGGAAGAGACCTGTGTGCTGCAGTCCTCCCAGCGGCGCTGGGGATGTGCTTCCCGCAGGCAGGTCGCTCCGCAGCCCCCTGTGCCACTCGCCAACGGGGAGGACCCACCTGCCTGAAGGCAGAGAGGGCTCTGCGCTGGAAAACGGGCAGCTGAGACCACGCACGGTCACCCACAGCCCCACCAGGTGTGGGTCGTGGCCCTCCCAAACACAGGGCCGAGGCTGCCGGACCACAGACTCTGTGGGCAGGCCTGGAGGTGCCTGGTGGGAAAGAGCCAGCCGCCGGCTATGAAGCAAAGTAAAATAAGGCTGGGTGACTGCTCAGCATACACATTATTTGTGTCTAGGCACAAAAGGGGGTACCTGCAATTAAACGTTATTTTTTCAAAACAACTGAACTTAATCGAGAGTGGAGAAAAAAAAAAAAATACAGAGAACGTCTTCTGCTGCAATAATTTATAGCAGTCTTGGCAGGTATTATGATCATCCAAATGAAATGTGAACACTGAGGCAAGCCCAATATATTATTCCTTTTGTAACAGATTTGCACTGTTCACCTTTAGCAAGGTGAGTCATATGTCTGATGGGAAATGGGACCCAGTTAGATGGATGGTAGTGAAATTGTGTAAAACCCACGAACATGTATGTAATAATCCCATCCACCAAGTAGGAAAATATAATTAACCCTTGTGATGTTAATCATCCAAACTACTTGGATTGGAGAGAGTGGAGAAATTGCAAACAAGCAATAGGGGCAGTACAGATGTCAATGCTGGAACAAAAATAATAGAGAAAATGTCTCTATTTACACAGAAATTGAGTGGTACTGAATAAAGTGACAAGTCAAATGCCTCAGTGTTTAGATATATATACATACATATACATATATATATATATATATATAAATAAAGCAGTTTTATTTAAATCTAGCCATTGCACCACGGACAAACTGCTGCCAAACTTTGCAAACACCTCCTAAAGCTATCAGGACAAATAATTAATCCATATAGAATATGTGATTGTCAAAGCCAGGTAAAGCCTGCAACAAGCAGACAAGTGCTGCTCTGCCGTCACCAGCGTTAGAAGCAAACCTTTCCCAGAGGCTGCACGACGCTTCAGGCTCGAGGTGTATCCCAAGTTTGTTGGGAGCAGACCCAGGGCAGCAGGGCTGCCTTCAGCAGCACCTGCCAAAGGAGCTCCCGGTCGCGCACAGGGAATGCTGCGCTGCGCTGACTCTGAAATGGTAGCGTGGCCGGGGGGAAGAAAGAAAACCCACTACTCACTAAGGGTAAAAGAGCAACCCAACAAAGCTGTAGTGAACGAGATGTCAGGGTTTTCACCTCTTAGCAGCTTTAATGACGTTAAATCATGGACAGCGCATTCAGTACGAATGACAAAATTGTGCAGGTGGGGGAGGTCCGGAAAGGGAAAGGAAGAAGTGAGGGAGGGAAGGAGGGAGGGAGGGAAGTAGAGAGGGCAAGGAAGGGAGGGAGGAAAGAAGGGAGGAAGGGAGGGAAAGGAAAGGAGAAAAGGAGGGAAAGGAAAGGGGGAAGGGAGGAAGGGAGGGAAAGGAAAGGAGGAAAGGAGGGAAAGGAAAGGGAGAAGGGAGGAGGAAAAAAGTATTTCCTTTGGAGACCCTCTTCGGGCCGAAAGCCCAGCCCACCCCGTGGCCGCCGGGGGAACAAAGGCTGCGGGTGCCTCCCGCCCTGGCCCGGAGCGGGGCGCGGGGAGTCCGCGGGACGCCCCCAGCCCCGCCACCGCCCGCTCAAGGGGAGCGGCGTCGAAGCGCCGGGCGCCGTCCCCTCGGCACCTGCCGGGCCGCCCCCCCCACCCCGGAGCTCCGTGCGGGGCTGGCCCCGGCCGGGTGGTCCCGTACCGGGACTGCGGGAGCCCGGCGGGGCACAGCACGGGGGTCCCGGCGCGCCGCCCATCCGTGCGCCTCCGGCTCCGGAGAGCTTGGGGAGGCCCCGGGACACCGACCCGGTCCGAGGCAGGAGCACAGCCACGCACCAGCCCCGCCGCTCCGACCCGCGCCCGATCCCGGGCCCCGGCCCCCTCCGGCCCCCCGGCTCCGGTTCTTGGCGCCCCCCTCCCGGCAGAGCAGAGCCCTGCGGGGACGGGGACGGGAACAGGGACGGGACGCGGACACGGTGCGGTGCGCCTCGGGGCTGCCGCGGCGAGAGGCCGGGCCGACCCTCGCCGGTCGCCCCCGCCCGAGCTCGCTCCTGAGGCCGCGTAGGGCCCCCCGGCGCCGCGCCCCGCAGGCTGCGCAGGCGGGCTCTGCTCCCCCGCCGGGCGGGAGCCCCTCTGCCCTTCGCCCGGCTCCCACCGCCCTCCTGTGGGACGTGGCACCGGGATTTCCTGCTTGGATATTTATTTTTTTTTAACCACCCCCCCACACCTCGTCTTTCCCGAGGAGAGACGCGAGTCCGGAGATACTTTGGCACTGAAGTCTCCTCCTCAACAGCTGCGGTATCAGAGAGAGGGCAGTGATTTTTTTTTTTTTTTCTTCCCTTTTTCAACAAAAATCCCGCAGAAGACACCTATTTTCCGTGCCTTTGGTTAATGGAGGGAGCCGCTGAAACCCGCGCTGTTCGCTCCCACATCTGATGCCCGGTGCCCTCAGGCGAAGCCCTTCCTCCGCACGCTCCGCGTCTGAAAGCGCCGCTGCCCGCTCGCTCGCACCTCCGCGAAGACGCGCTCCGAGACAACGGGTCCCTCCGGATATGGGGACCTGCGATTCCCCCTCGGAGCCCCCAGATTTTTTTTTATTTTTTTTTCCGCCCTTTAAGTTCGCCTTTTTAAAGCGCGATTCGGTTCAATCAAGGGAGAGAAATAACCACAGCTTAAAAAGAGGCTATGTTTTGGTGGAAGATAAAAGTCTGTCTTACGCGCAGCAGGAGCGAGCTACCAGCGACTATCCCGCCTGTGCTGAGCTACTCCAGACACCTTCCAAAATCTTGTGACGGACAGAAAGAAAGAGAGGGGAGCAGGCAGATAACGAGAGAGAGAGAAAGAGAGAGAAAGATGGAGAAAGACAAATTTGTAGCTCTATCGCTGGATGCTTTATTTTGAAAACAAATTTCTTTTAGCTAAAAGGCTGTGGTGCACTAGGAAATGAGATTAGTTCTACCTTAAATTTCCTCGCAATCTCTCGCCGTAATGCAGCGTTTAACTCACCATGAGAGAAGATGTCATTTCACATAACACTGTGCTAATGGATAAGTGTTCCCCCGACCTCTCAAGCACAACAAATCTCGGGCAAGCCCATCGCACACGACCTGTTAACTTAACCAGTGCTGCTACCCACTTGTTCTGTGCCGCGGCTCCCGATGCAAAGCACGCAAAGGAATTGTTATGCCTTTCTTCAGATGGTTAAAAAAAAAAAAAAAAAAAGAAAAAAAGAAAAAAAGAAAAAAGTACCTCCATCCCCACTTTGCGCCCTTCGAAATTGCCTGTTTTTTCGGTTTTAATTAACGTATATGAAAACGTTGGACTACATCAGGAATAACGCAGATCAAACTTTTCCGTTCGTCAGAAATACTGGGCAGCTTTCTTTCCAAATATTTGATTTGGGATTGCATATATATATATACATAAATATATACATACACACACGCATGAGTCCCTGTCATATATACAGATCGATAAAAAAATATAGTCGGGAGTGTGTGTGTGTGTGTATATATATGCATCGGCTCTTTCTCTACAGGAGGAGGAATCTCAGGGAAAAAAATATATATATATCAAAGAAAAAAAAATACACAAAGAGCAACAACCAAAAAATAAAACAAAAACCCACCCGGCTGCCTGCAGCATTTCGCCTTTTCCTGCTCGCTGCCAAAAACACCGAAGCGGGCGCGAGCAGCCTCCCCGGCGGGGACGGGAGACCCCCGCGACCCCCGCCCGCCGCGCCGCGAAGGACGGGTGCGGGGGGCTGCCGCCCGCCCAGCCCCGCGCCCCGCGCCCGGCCGCAGCCCAGGATTTCGTTTGGGGCCGGGTCGGCGCCCGCGGGCGGGACCCCCGGGACAGCGCCGCCTCCCCCCCGGCGCCGCGGACCCCGCGGCCGGCAGCGGCGGGCGGGCGGGGGGGAACCGAGCCCGGCGGCCCCGTCCGCGAAGGCGCACGGCCTGGCTCGGCCCTGCCGCGTCAGAGAAGTTGAACTAGCAGCCTACTTACTATGCATTGCTGCAAACGGGTCGTGCTTACAGTGTATTTCCATCGGAGCGGTCCGGAGCCGGAGCGGGCAGCCTGGCGGATCAGATCTCGGTTCGGCGGCGGCGCTCGCGTGTGGGGCTCGGGGGAGGGGGGGGGGGCGAGGAAGCAAAACGGAACGGAGCGGAAAAAAAAAAAAAAAGAAAAAAAAAAAAAGCAAGCACGCCCCCAAACTTGGGTATCCGACACCGGCGGCCAAGCGCAGATCCCCGTGCACAAGTTGCAGCCTTCGGCCGTTCCCTCGGGCAGGGACCGCCGCCTCGCCGGCCGCCCCGCAGCCGTCGGTGCGCCTTCCCTCCGCCGGCCGCGGCGGCTCTCACAGCGCCATGCAGCCGCGGCGGCGCGGCTCCGGGCTGCCTTTCGCCCGGCTCCCGAGCGGCGCGGTCCGGCGGGCGCCCAGCCTCCGGCGCCGTCCCCCGGCGGCAGCTAACGGCGCGCCCCGACGGCTCTTTGTGCTGCGGCCGGCGGCGGCCCCGGGTCGCTGTGTCCGGCGGCCGAAAGCAGCGGCGGGAGGCAGGCGGCGGCGCCGCTCCGCCGCTCCTCTGTCCGCCGGCCGCCGGGGCTGCCCGAGCGGCGCCGCGCCCGGTGCTGTCCGGCCGAGCCGGCGGCGCGGCTCCCGGCGGCGCGGGAGTTGCGGGAACTTGTCGAGCCCGGGCGGAGCGGCGGAGGGAAGAGGGGCGAGGCGGCGGCCGCGGCGGCGGCGGCGGCGGGCGGCAGGAAGGTGTGTGCGAGGGGGCGGGAGGGAGGAGGGGACGGGCGGAGGAGGGAGGGAGGGAGGGAGGGAAGGAGGGAGGGAGGGAGGAGGGGAGCGGCGGGGAGGGGGCTCCGGCGGGGCGCGCCGTTAGCTGCCGCCGTCGGACTTGGGGCGCGGGTGCGCAGCGCCCATCGCCGCCGGTGCTGGCCGCGGGCGGGGGGCAGCTCGGGGACCCCTCCCCACCCCACCCCGCCGCCGCCTGCCGTCGGCGGCCCCGGGCGCCCGGGACACCGAGGCTGGGCTGGGGCCGTGCGCCCGCCGCGCTGCCCGCCCCGGCCGGGCCGCGGGGGTTGTGGCGGGCGGGGGGCGGGGCGGGGCGGGGCGGGGCGGGGGGGCGCGGGTCTGGGGCACGCCCCGCGCCCGGCCCGGTGCCCGCGGGCAGCGCCCGCCCAGGGGGCGCCGCGGGGCGGTTTCAGCACCGCGCCGCTGGACAGCGCCGGGGCGGGGGCCAAGGCTGTCACTCAGGAGGCGCGGCCAATCGCAGAGCGGGACGCCGGGAGGCGCCGGCGCCGATTGGCCGCCGCCGGGGACGCTGCGGGCGGCGGGGGCGGGAGATGGGAAGGAACGGGGAGGGGGCGGGGCCTCGCCGACGGGGCGGGGCCACGCGGGAAGGGGCGGGGCCTCGCGCTCCCGGCCCCCGACGGCACCCCCGG